ACCAACTGAGATATAGGAAAACAAAGAGAGATGTATCTATACCTGAGTTTGAAATAAACATACTCAAAAATACCTACTCAGTTGCACTCCGTTGACCTTCTAGATAGATATGTACATTATCTATAGATTTTAAGTATAATTAACAACTTCCCATTCAGTATTTAACGGCTTCAACTGCTTCTTTGATGGCCAAAAGCTAATCAATCTTGTTCTCAAATGCTAATACAAGCAATTAAAAATAACATTAATTGAAATACTGCAGGGGCTGGGTGGGTTTTTTTCCATTTAACCTCATGGCAACACTAATTTACAGTACTAATTAGTGAATTGCCCTTTGTATTATAAAACTTTGGAAGAGAGAGGTGTCCTTTAAAGCCCAACAGAGAAGTACAGATGGTCACTGCACTTTCAGTGGGTTTGTATGCCAACATTTGGAATATTTATTTCACCTGATGGGCCAAATGAGCTGGAGTATATTATGTACAAAGAGAATATTAATATTGCTTTGCTGAGAAAATGTATAGTCTATTTGTTTCAAAGTAAAACATATAAATATGCCTACCAGGATATATAATATGCCCAATGTCATAACTAAAGGAAAGAAAACTCTTCTTTCTTGCATAATAATATAAAGTGAATTATAAAGATACACTGTAAAACGTGAAGTGGGGAGGGAAGCCTCTTAAAAACAGAAATGAAATAACAGAACCGTAATATAAGAGTTATGCAATTAAAAGGCTTTTTAATTGTGCAATTGGGTACAAACAGCAACCCTTTTAATCCTTTTATCCTAAGAAAGCCACAAAATAAAATGTATAATACTGTATAAGTTTACTTTAATTCCTGTTCTGTTCAGTAAGTTGACTAATATTGGTGGGAAGCAACTCAGCCATTTTACTCTCTGCTTCTCAGCAAGTGCTAGTCTTTGCCAAAGAGAATTACCGGCAACCAAACATGAAAAGCACCCAGAAATCAAGGTGTCTATAACATAAGAAGGGAGAGTACGTACTGATTATATGATGTATTATGCAAAAAGGAGGGATATGTGGATTTTTCTTTAAAAACAAACTATGCTAAGTTCAGTTTTGAGAGAGACCTTATCTTCCCATTTTCTTCACTAAAGTGAACCAACAATGCTTCTAATTAGGACATGCATTTAATACCAGACACTGGTTCATACATGCATATCCACTATTTGATGTCTGAAACATCTAGTGATTACTTTTATGTTTGAATATTTTTTGAAAGGCCAGTTTTCACACACATCTCTGGATCATCCTTCTGTCATAGAGAAAGACAGCACAAACTTTCCTTTTAGTAGTTTGGGGGGGGGGGGGTGAGAGAGATGTAAGGGGTGAATGTAAAATTCTGTCGAGGCGTGCAGCCCGGTATGTAAACAATCCACACATTCTAGAGCAATAAAACTAAAGTCCGTTAATGTTAATTGTCTACAAAATTTACAACTCTATAGATAAGTTCCCTAATAGCGGTCCTTGCTAAGCAGATGTTAACTCTCTGATGGCTTCTCTTCCCAAGCCCACGTGGGATCACTCTCCCAAGTCACGCCTTTCCTCCCTCTTACGTAATACATTTTGCCACTGTTCATATCTACGTAAAATCTGTCTGTTTTCGGCTTTTGAGAAATCCACGACACCTATTGTGTCTTCTGTTTCCGGCTCAGGGAGATCTGCGGGGGGGAGGGGAGGCAGTTTGCTCTGCCTCCTTCTGCGTAGAACTTGCAGCTTCCTCTTTCTCATGACTCTCTGTCTCTGATAAAGGTCCAGGCGTTTGCTCAACGTGCTGGGGGTCAGAGGAAGACGCAGCAGCTGGCTCAGCTGTCCCTGCGTTGGGTTGTGGGGTTGACTCTTGGGCACTGGGTGTCAAGTGCAAGGTCTCCTCATGAGTCACTGTTTCTGTCGGGGCTTCATGCACGACAAATTCTTGTTCTGCAATTAGCATCATGATCTGTAAAATGAGAGCATTGTTCCTTGGAAATAAATGCTTAAATAGATTTCAAGAAGCCAAGAGCTACCACTTGCTTCCTTAGTTCCTCCACCAACACGACATGTTAAAGGGAGTTAAAGAATGTCTTAATCCCAGCAGAGCACCTTGATGTACCATTTGCACAGGTAAAGTCGATGTGGGGTTTACACGAAACAGGAACAAAGCTTATACACTTTACACTTCTGGGCTTTGTGAACAGCTGCAGAATATAAGCACTGTGCATATAAGAAAAAGCATATAAAAATAAAATCTAAGCAATCATCACTGCGTGTTTTTTTAATCTAGGAAAGATTTAATACTTTTAAAGATTACGTTTCCCATTGTAAAGCTTCCTTTGTATACAGTGTCTTTTACAAATTCTTTTCTTCCATTGTTCGAATGGGAAGGTGGCTATATGGGATTGTAAGAAGGATCTTTTGTTGCGAGAAGGATTTTGTCTTTGCAGGTGGAAGGGTGGGGTGAGGAAAGGTCATTTCTCTGTGCATGAGGCTTTCTCTTAAGCGTGAGCACTTTAGGGGAGTACCTGTCCTACCTTAAGAAAGCAGGTCGCCAACCTTTTCTGCAAATAATCTTGCTATTCCACTCACCAACCAAGACCTTGCTTTCTAGACTATCAGAGAGCAATATGTGTCCCTTCAGCTACTTTGCAATTGCCACAAACTAAGGTCTGATGAAAATGACATTTGCTTGAGAGAAACTTAAAATAGCTTCTAGGTGGAATATATTCATGCTTTCCTCACACAAAGGCACTTAGCAAAAGCATTAGTTCTGATACAGCAGTAGAACTCATTTGCTAGCTCTTGGTGGAGGTGATCCCCCAGGAGGTGGACCTCTGAAGCCCAGTTAGTTCCTTTTTTCTGCCATATTCCCTGGAGGCAAATAGATGCTTTTTGCACCTTCCAAAACTTTACTGTTTTATGTAGCATAGCTGGCAAGAGGTAGGTGTTTGCTGCCTTCCTGGTGCAGTATGGGGAACACACATAAGATTGTGCACTTTGGATGCAGAATTCAGCTTCCTGAGAAGCTTAGTTTTCATTTAGTGAAACTCAAGCAGGTTTCCAGCCCCTATGGCTGTGAAGATATGCTTTAAATTCCATGGGAAATGCCAAATGAAATCTCAGAACCTAGAGTGGTGACTGAAGATGTTTTCCAGTTGTAGTGAGGCTTCAGTATCCTGCAGAGTTCCTTGCTCTTCCCCATGATCAGCTTAAAACGGCAAAATGAACTCTGAAAAATAAGAGAAATAATTTTGCACAGAATTTATATAAATCACAAAATCCAGCATTTCTTGACAGAGAATTTGAATTACTGAATATTAAACACAGAAAAATACTCAATCCCTGATTGAGTACTGATTTTATCAATGTATACAAACTACTTGCTATTAGAATTTCTTGGCAGTACTGGACCGTCCTTTGTTAGGCAGGCTGTTTGCCAATGATAAAAACATGATCTGCTGATATTTACCCAGAGTGTAGTCTGAGGTTTAAAAATAATTTAATTATTATTTAATTATTATTTAAATAATTTAAAAAGAATTCATTGCCTCTTATGGAAATGTCAGTTCGCTTTCTGTATGCTCTGTGTCACAATATAAAAATATGACAAAGATAACGTACGCCTTTGATGCTGGCTCAGTTGAAGCAAACATTGCTATTGAGGGTAATGGGAAGGAATGTCCATTTCATTGTTGCAACATTGGTTAACTTCAGTACAGGTCTGAAACTGAACAAATATATACTGAGTTTTGAAATTCTAAAAAAAATATTTTTAGGAATCTGGAGTTGTCTAAATATGCAGATACTGAGCTGTCAAAATATGTTTGGTCCTTGGCAAGTAAATAAATAATTGGATGATTTCACTTGTTCCTTGTTTATTACTTCACTATGATGGGAAGAAGATACACATGTAGCCAGAAATGGCTTGGAAATCTAAATTTAGTTTAGTTTAGTTTAGTTTAGTCCAAACCTCACAATTTTGTGTGTAGCTATTGTTCTGATTTCTTCTTCTATCACATGTATTTTTAACAAGTATTTCTTAAAAATGAACATTTAGATTTCAAAATAAAAATAACACAACCAGGTGGTTCTTTTGTAAGTAGTCTATTGATGATGCTAAGAGTGATTTGTTGCCCATTTAATTCCATAAATTAAAGTGGTAAGTGATTTTGGTCCTGTCCTGGATGGGGTTACATTCCCTCTAAAGGACAAGGTCCACAGCCAGAGCTGTCCCTGGAACACCTTCCTTCAGCTTTGGTTGATTCAACAGCTGCACCCTTATCTGGAAAAGCACTTTCTGGCAATGGTGACACATGCTTTGGTAACCTCTGGTTCGATTATTGTAATGTGCTCTACACAGGTCTGCTCTTGAAAATGGTCTGGAAACTTCAATTGGTATAAAACAGAGCTGCCAGGTTGCTGACAGGGGCCAGCCGTTATTCTCATATAACGCCGGTCCTCTACCAACTTCACTGGCTCCCAATTGAAGTCTGGGCCCAATTCAAGGTGCTGGTACTAACCAATAAAGCCCTAAATGGCTTGAGACCGGGATACCTGAAGGAGCGTCGCTTTCTCTATATACCCTCATGCCCCTTAAGATCGGCAGGGGAGGCCCTGCTCCAGGAACCCTCTTTGAAGGAGGTACAGAGGGCAACTACTTGGAGGAGGGCCTTCTCTGCGGTGGCACCCAAACTATGGAATATGCTCCCCAGAGAGGTCCACCTAGTGCCAACTCTCTACTCTTTCCGGCCCCAAGTAAAGGCCTTTATATTTACCGATCATTTAAATAATTAAATTAATAATTTTAATAAATATTAATCAGTCACATCTTTCTTTTTTCTTTTCCTTTTTTCTTCTTTTAATTTTGAATAATTGGTTCGATTGAATGTTTTAATGTTTATTATTGCATTTTAATTGCATTTATATGGTCATTTATTTTGTTGTGAGCTGTCCTGAGGCCATGCAATGTTATAAATAAATACATAAATAAATAAATGCTTGGCAATGACTTTGGCATAGTGGATTGCTGATTTGTAAGGAAGTCGTGGAAGTGCTGAATTTTCGAAGTCTACATGAAAGAGACCAAATCAAGAACTGTATCCACATGTCCATTCAAAGTTGTCCAGAAGGGACCATACAAAGTAACCTTTCAGTTGGACACCATCAATGTAAATTGCTGGAAGAAAAATAAGAAAAAGGGGTGTGCAAAGGGGTTTTCTGTACTTTTGAAAATGTGTGTGCCATTCATTCCACACTATAAGAGTGTTGTAACACCATGCTAATATGGAACAGATCTGTGTATTTGTGATAACAAAGACAGTTTCAGGTTTGTGCAAAGGAAAGCTCCAAAACCTGACTGATTTCACAGCAAGGTTAAATGCTGAGAAAGAGGAATGTGTCTTGACTGTTTGTAACAGACACATGGACACATACACACAAATATTTGGGTAAAGAATGCCTAGGTTGAGTCTGCTATAGCGTTTGAAGAATGCAGGCCTCTGACATGATTAGACAATAAGCCACAGAGGACTCTACTGTATAATCTCTCTGCATACTGTAGACAAAAAAGGAGAGGAAACCTTTCCACGTGACTTGTCAGCTTGATTTATGAGGTACCTAAATCTTGGGGGAAACAATCTTTTGTGTATTAAACCTCTGCTCAAAACAGCGCTGTGTGCAAAGATAACTGAGGACGACAGGGATGGCTCTTGGTCTGCCGAAGCTGGAACAAATGTGATAAGGGCTGCTGTTCCCACGCATCTACTGGTTTGTTGGGGGAGGGGTTGGCTATAAGCTATTATGAGAGGGAAAGGGTGCTAAGGAAGGCAAATATAATATAAAGGTGAGGCACAAAAATAATATCCACAGTGAACTTTTGATGTACTGCTTCCTTGATGATAGAACGTTTGCTAAACATGGTGACTCCATACCGATACTTTGATTAGAAAACATGGGAGCTCATTATTTCTAAGCCGTGGGCATGATTTCCCAACATTCTTAGTTAAATTGCACCCTGCTGCCACACTGCACCAGTTATTCAACTCATCTTCTCCCATCTTTTTTTGGGGGCAGCGGGCAATGGAAAGACTCTTAACTACATTTTGCCCTGGAAGCAGACTGTCCAATTTAGAAACACAAAGTCCTCTTATCTCTGAAGAACAGGATTGGTTCCAACTGTGCCCTGCTTGTAGAGCACAAAGCCAGAACTGTGTCATTCTGTCCAGGTGATCTTCAGCGAAAGAAGGCGCATTCACACAAAGTTAGACGGTTTATGATACACCTTTAGGAGTTACAAAGGAGAAAGGTCCATATGTCTCTGGTGACTTACAGTCGAGGCTCCTCCCTTTTACTTAATTCACTATGAAGAACACAGTAGCTAAAGGATAATGAACTCCTGATTAGCTGGTTGAGCAGGCAAGGCTTCCAAGGCTAGATTATCAAGCTGAAGTTCAAATCACCTTGTCACATTTCATTTCAGTTCATTTTTCTGCCCCTCATTGGCCCAAAGGAATCTTTATGCATATTTCTAACACACGCTTCTGTCTTACAATATTGCACACTTGGAGGTTTGTTTCATATTTTTATTAATTCCTATAGGCATTTCAATATTTATACTGTATTTCCCTAAATGCTTTGTGTAGTTGTTGAATGATAAGTAAAGACTATAGTGAGGGAGGTGAAGACTGATAGCCAATTCCTGGGATCATTCTGGGTCCAAGTTCATAGATTAAGTTTGCATATGCTGATAGCGAAAAGGTGCTAAGTCGCATGCAAACACCTTAGTCTCTCTCTCTCTCTCTCTCTCTCTCTCTGTGTGTGTGTGTGTGTGTGTGTGTGTGTGTTTAAAAGAGTGGATTCATTAAAGAAGGGGAGTACAATGATCAAGAAGACTGAGATGTTTGACATAAACTCACTGCACAACATGCTGTCACAGCTTTTGTGACGAGCATGACTTCATGCAGGAAAAGTGGCAAGTGGAGTACGAACATAAACAGGACAGAAGGTGTATTAGCTTAGAGTATTTATTTCTCTGTGAATTTCTAGACCCAGAGTATTCTACAATATTGAACCTAAACTAAACACACACATGTGCATCTACACGTAAACCAAGCACAGTTTGATGTAGATGTGCAGTTACATATCCTAAGCATGGCTGTCCAGAACTGAATCCTGGGCAAGAGTACATGGAATTGCAGCCAAAAATATTTCAATTTCATAGGCAAATCACCAGCCCCTTGAATTGAGCTCGGAAATAGACCAGATCACTGGGGCAATAGATTCCTGGCAATCTGCACCAGTACGAAGTGTAGCTGCATTCTGAACTAACTGCAGTCTGAGTTGTCTTGAAGGGCAGGTTCACGGAGAATGCCTTTGTGCAGTCAATCCCATGCTCTCCCTTCACATGTATGGAAAGTGCTCATGCAAACACTGCATTCAATATCTCACATATCTGCACCTATCTATCTGTCTTTCATTTCAGGACTACTGTGGGTCCACCATCACATACATGGACTCCTCAACATATCTAAGGGAAAACCTACAAAGGACCATTGTTGTGTGTACAAAATGAACCTTGTTCTCAGTCCCCACAACTGTGCTTAAGTACTCTGGTGACAGCCACATTATTAATTAGCATAGATCTATTTACACCCATCATGTCATTAATCACTGAATCAGGAAGGTCGTCTAATTAATTAACCACCATGGGTGGTCACAACAGCTGAAAGAACCATTTCAGGTGTATGGCAGAGTATCTCATTTGTCTTGTCTTACACGTTACCCATCTCTCTCTTGTAGGGCCTCTTCTGCATACTTTTCTTGCCTTGATCTCTGTGTTAGCTGTGATACCATGGGACACTCACTCTCCACAAGGTCTTTTCATTCTTGGAGTGTTATGACATCAATTTAATGGTCCTTCACTTCACAGTGACAGCTCCTTCAGTTCATGTAAGTTTACTATTAACACCTTGCTTGCTTGCTTGCTTTTTACATCGCTTGACATCACAATAATAGTCCTTACCTCTGCCTGATCAGTACATATATTTTCCATTTTTGACCATATTTTTATTATGAATTTAGTTTCCCAACTCAGAAATCTGTTGTCTTACCTCCCTCCTCTGTCGCTATGGCATCTTGATCCACAAATCCACCCATGCTCAGCCATCTACAGCCTTCAGAGGGCAAAGGACTGCAAAGTCCCCACAAGCTGGCTAACTGGGGCATACGATATTTTACACTTCTTGCATTAGTTGATTTGGGGACTTGTTCCAAAAAGATAGAAATAGAATATAATGCACAAACAAAGAGATATAACTAAATACAGTTGTTCAAATTTTACATAGCTAAGACTCGCCAAACAACTTCATGACCACTAGCTAGGAGAGCTTTGTGAGGAGGAGGAGGAGGAGGAAAGGCTTCATTATATGCATAGAGGTTAAATCTATCAATAGCTGCTAGTTATGATACTTAATTGTTTTAATTAAAATTTAATTTCTTAATGTATTTATATAGTACCACCCATGTGCATAGTGCTTTACAAACAACAGCATGACAAGTCCTCGCCTGAGGGAATTTATAACATAGAAACAGACACACAGAAAACAAAGGGAAGGGAAAGACATGGAAAAGGGCTAAACATTGGAAGAATCTGATGGTGATTACTGCAGTTCCACATATTTAAATGCCACAAGAAGGAAGGACATCAGGTAGTTTTGGATTGCAGCTCCCATCTTCCCTGACCATTAGCCATGCTGCCTGGGATTGACAGTGGTTGTAGCTGAGCACACCTGGAGGGACTGGGGTCAGGTGCGGGTGCAACAGAATATGGGGACTTGGATGCAGCAGGAAAGGCTTCATGGCCAAAAGCCTTCAGAGGCACACACCACATAAAGAACATTAAAATCACGAAACAGGTGTCTGTGCCCGTGGCCACTGCAGTTTCGTGAAGTTTGGCAGTCTTGTTTCCAAAGCAGCTGCACCAATCACTGCAGCAGCAGGGGCAGGCCCAAGATGCTCCCATACAACTGCCGCTGTGTGTGAGCACTGGGCAGCCCCACGGGCGATGCAGGGGGTGCTGCAAGCCCTGACCGGACCCACATCTCCTTGGGGCCGGGTGCGCATGCGCCTGCAATTCAGGGACTGTACATGAAGACCAGTTGTGAGTCGTCTGAAAGCGCAGTCGGTTCAATGTGTCAAGACCCATTTACATTTCAGTTTTTCTGCAGCTGGTAATCTTAGCTGTAGTAGAAGACAGACAGAAACTAAACATATGAGCATCAATAAAGAGGATTAAGGATAAATAAGAGGGATTTCTTCTGAGTGGTGCTTTGCAAGCATTGTTCACAAACTGACAACTTTATAGTGCCTACTGTCTAGGGGAGACAAACAGAAGATTTGTGAGCATGGAAAGCAGCCGTCTTCAGTGAAGAAGTCAGCATATTTAATAAGGACAATCAGGAGGGAGAAAGCATCAGGTGCAATGCAAATACCTGTTTATTAGAATTCTCATCTGCTCAGGGCTTTAATTGGCAATAAATTAAGTACTGCAGACATCCTGGTTGGCTGCTAGAATTGTGAACATCTTTGTTTCATTTGCTTCCCTGAACAAGGAGCGTCTACCCATGGTAGACAAGCCGGCGTGTGCTATCTGCCGCCTTTCCCACCCGCATGTCATTCGGTGTTGACACAGGTGGGGCCCATGTGCCCTGTTTGTGCAGCCTGTCTTCCCCTTGGGGAGGTACATGCACAGGGAAGGCATCCTTACGTTTTCTCTAAGTCACTGCTTATATAGCTGCTCTGCTGGCTGGGCTTTTTCTAGACAAACCAGCTTGGACGTGCATCCCAACCTCACAGTCAAAAGCATAGAGCAAAAGATGAAAAAACTGGTGAAGCTTGGTAACTTTCAACATCTGAGAGTTTATCTCACACACCACAAGGACACCATCATAAACAATAGCAGAGAGCATAGATTGGATGGTGCAGTCATACCCCTCAATGCCAGAAATCACCAGCACCAAAAGCAACCGACAAGCTCCAAACCTTGGTCTTCCTTGGCAGTCCAGTGTTTAAAAAAGCAAATCAAGGATCACACAAAAGGGAGCACCTCTGTACAGGATTCCCACCAAGACTTCTCCATGGAAGGATACTGTGTATCCAAACAGGATTACATGGAGAACA